TGTTTTGGCAAGGAGTTTGTCGTGTTTTGCTGGTTTTTTTATCTTAGATCATAAGAAGACTGAGAGAGTTTCTGTTTCTTGCTTGGTGTTCCGGTGTTTTGCTACTTTTACGTTTTGCCATTTCTAGACAATGATGAAACATAAAGATGTCAACGTTAAATCCCAGAGAAAATTGAACATGCCAGAGAAAATTGGACATGTCAGAGAAAATTGGACATAAGGGAGAAAACTAAGGTGGCCAGGGAAAATTATAAATGTCAGACAAAATTAGACACTAAAAATTAAATGTCAGAGTACCAATTGTTTTCCTATGGAATACATCTAGCCACAGAAAATTTCCATTCCCAGAGAAAATCAACAAAGCAACATAAATTTTCAATAATTGTTAAAATTACAAATAGAAGTAAAATATAGCCAGAGAAAATTGAAAAAAAAAACATATATCTAGCAAGCACAGAAAATGAATGACAGAGAAAAGTAAACATAGCAAGCCAAAGAAAATTTCCATTCGACAATTAGCAAGATAAAATAAACAAAGCAACGTAAACATGCCACTGAAAATTACACAACATTGAAACCAAGAATTAAACAAAATAAACATACCAGAGAAAATTACACATTCCGGAGAAAATTACACATTCTTGAGAAAATTTCCATTCCAGAGAAAATTTCAAGTCCATAATATTAAAATGCCAGAGAAATTTACATACACAACCAGAGAAAATTAAACATGATAGAGACACACAAGGGAGAAAAGTGATGTGGCTAGACAAAATTATAAATGCCAGAGAAACTTAGACACAGACAAGAGAGTAATAGACATTCCAGAGAAAAATACATATTCCAAAGAAATTTACAAAGCAGAGAAATTTATAGACAAAATCACATAAACATGTTCAAGAATAAGATTAAAACACAGAGAAATAACTTTTTTTCAAAATAAACATGCCAGAGAAAATTCAAAGAAAAAACATACATTCCAGTCCATAATATTAAAATGCCAGAGAAATTTACATACACAACCAGAGAAAATTAAACATGATAGAGACACATAAGGGAGGAAAGTGATGTGGTCATAGAAAATTATAAATACCAGAGAAACTTAGACAAAGACAAGAGAGTAATAGACATTCCAGAGAAAGATAGACATTCCAATTAAAAATATATATTACAAAGAAATTTACAGAGCAGAGAAATTTATAGACAAGATCACATAAACATGTTCAAGAATAAGATGAAAACACAGAGAAATAACTTTTTTCAAAATAAACATGCCAGAAAAAATTCAAAGAACAAACATACATCAAGCAAAAACCAGAGAAATTCAAATTCCAAAGAAATTTACAGATAAAATCACACAAACATGTTCAAGAATAAGTTCAAAACACAGAGAAATAACTTTTTTCAAATTCATGTAGCTTTTTATTACGAAATTGAAACCCTAATTTATGGAAGGTTAATATAAAATGCAATTAACTGTGTTTCCAGAGAAAATCTAGTTGTATTGTAGAAAAACTTACCAGAGTTAGGATGAAACTTTATTGACAAGCTGATATGCCCTAAGATGAAGATGCGACATGACGAAGATGAACTGAGATGACGATGAACAGTGAAAACGGGGTCAGAGAAATTTGTGTGGAAGGAATGGGAATGATTTTTGCAGAAGATAATGAAGCTCTAATGTCGATGGTGAAGATGATATTGAAATCCTAATTCTGTTGTTCTCTTGCTCGAGAAGATGGTTGGATGCTTGAAATGGAACTCAGTCGTCGGAGTTCAGTTTAGTTTCTGTGTTGATTTGTGAAGGGTATTTTGGTCCATGAGATAATTAAAAATGCGCGCGATAATAGTTGAGGGACCTGATCCATCACATGATAGCTATATGTTTGAATTACATTTGTATGATGGAAAATGAATGGCTACTTTTAAAATTATAATTGTCGTTCATTTTTCAAAAGACCAATGTAATTTAAACATATAGTTACTAATATTCAATCATCTTAATTTTTTATATGAATATTTTATTTAACAAACTTTAAAAAGTCAACGATTCAAATCATTAAAATAGGTCCAAAATAGATCCACACCAAATCCAAGAAGTCTCTCAAGTTCGATGAATCCAATCCTAATTATATGTACTACACATCCTCCAATAAGGAGTCCGGATCCTCGGTCGCCTTCTCCTGCTGCCCTTCCTGCGGTGCCACAAAACGACGTCGTTTTGGGGCCAAATTTCAATTAAAAAAAGAAGAAGAAAGAAAACAAACTGAGAGAGGGAGAAGAAGAAGAAAGAATGGAGAAGAAGGAAGGCAGAAAAAGAGAGGAGGAGGAATAAAGGAGTAGGAGGAAGAAGAAGAGAAGACGTCGGCGATGGCTTCGCCAGCACTTCGAAGAAGGAGAAAGAGAAGGGGTAAAAGAAGAGGAGAGGAGGGAGTTTGCAGATTTACCCAAACTCAGTACCAATTTCCGACCCAGGTCCTTCGAAATCGATCTCAACAAGACCCCCTGCCCTCTCATCGCGAAACCCTCGACGTTGCCCCCCATTCGCTGCCTAAGGGAGAGATTTTGGTGTGTAGTGGTTGCAGGCTACAGGTTTGTCCCATCTCTCTCTCTCTCTCTCTCTCTCTCTCTTTTCTTTTGAATTTGAAAACCCTGTTTTATGTTTCTGTTCACTGTGCTTGGATGTGGAGAAAACCAAGTCAAATGAAAGGGAAACTTTGCAGTAAATATTTCTTATTTTGGTCTCTGAAAATTAAGACACTCAAAAAAAAAAAAATTTTGATTTGCAAAGGGGACACTCCAGATAGAGATAGATGAAGCCCATGAGAAGAATAGGAAGATAAAAAAAAAATTGATTTTGCAGAGGGGACACTCTAGATAGAGATAGATGAAGCCCATGAGAAGAATAGAAAGATACAAAAAAATTTGATTTGTAAAGGGGACACTCTAGATAGAGATAGATGAAGCCCATGAGAAGAATAGGAAGATCTCTGCTTCCATGAGAGCCTTGAGGATTGATCAGAAGACACCCAACAAATCCTCCTCTCCAAAGAAGACCTCTTTCCTCCTCTCTTTCTCTGCCTTCCTTCTTCTCTATTCTTTCTTCTTCTCCCTCTCTCAGTTTTTTTTCTTTTTTTCTTTTTTTTTAATTGAAATTTGGCCCCAAAACGACGTCATTTTGGGGCACCGCAGGAAGGGCGGCAGGAGAAGGCAACCGAGGATCCAGACTCCTCCAACAAGCACCCACTTGCCGCCACCAACACCTCCCCCTCCTCCTCCTACTCCCTCCAACAACCACTGGCAGTTTATTTATATTTTGGAATCTTTGTGAGTTTCCTAATATGAAAACTATTTGCCCTCATAATCACTTTCTTGTAGTACATGGGTACATGTTCTTTGATAGGGCTTGGCAAGATGAGTGTCTATTTCACTTAGGGCACAAGATGGGTGTTTTTGGAAAAAATATTCTGTGTCCCATGTGGCAATGCCTCAAATGGATTGTTTTGTGAGAAATTTTATTTTCACACACCTCTGTCTCAGTGCACATCATTTCTCAATACACAAACTTATTAATTTCATTTTTGGTTATTTTTCTTATTCCACACATTTAATGTTCTAATTATACCTAACTCATATCTTTGTACACACTCCACCTAAACCCTCCTTTCACACACTTTTACCCCATTTACCAATCCTCCTTCTTCTTCTCAATAAAATCAATGTCTTTGTCACCAGAGGGGTTCCCAAACTGATTAATAATTGCAAATTTCATGGCAATTTTATAACATTCACCAAATTCCAATTCCATTTCCATTTCACTGCTCTCTTGGGTTTCTCAACAATTAGGTCTAGGCTTTGGGGACGAAACAGTTGATGAAGCCTCTCATTATATTTTAGTTGCCGAAAGTGTCATTTCCTGTAGTGAGTGTTGTTGCTTATTTTGAGTGTTCTGCTTCATGGGTTTGTGAAACTAGGGTTATTAATTAGAGTGTTTCAATTGAATAACTAGCAAGATGACTAGGCAGTTCCTGTCAATTTTGATCAAATTCCAACTGCTCTGGTTATTCAACCAATTGCAAAGAGTGATTCTTCAAGCAATAAATTGTCATGGGAGTTGAAATTGGGCTCTAAAGCTGCTGTGCCCCCGAATTCGGCATCCTATTTGGGTGAATTTGTTGGTTCAGGCACCCCAGCCCTCACTGCCACGCCATTTCACCCTCACCGACCACTGTATTTGTTCCCCCAATTTGTATATATATATCGATTCATTGCAGGACCATCGTGCTTAGTCCAAAATCAACAATATTGGATTATGAGCATGTATAAACTTAAGGTTCCTAACAATCAATCAGTCCAAACATCCATTTTTTAAGAGTCGACAATCTCTGAGCAAGATGGCACCACCGTATATATATATATATAATAAAGAATTGAGATTTTTTTTGCTTTAAAAAGATATTTAGAGAGAAAATTCTGATATAATATTGTGGATGTGTTTTGATGTCCATTATAGTAATTTCATTTTAGGGCACAATTGTCATTAAAATAAAATTTTATTAAGTGTGTGCATAGAGATACGTAAGTGTGTGGAAATAGAATTTCTGACATGTGGACAATGAATAATTGTCTGTGTTTTTGAAACCATTTGATTTGAGTCTGCAAGCTGATACCTTGTATTCTTTTGAGCCTGATGGTAGGCAATTCTATTCTACTATTCTATGGTCGCATTTGGTTGTGGCGTGGAGGAGGGGGAAGGAGAGAGAGAGGGACATTTTCGTTGAGTTGATTTTTATCCTAGCATTATCGAAATCCAATTTAGATTGTTGATTTGAAGCCATGATTACGATGGCAATCGTGAAGGGATAAGAATCTGTAGAAGCGAAGACTGTTGAAGTCAAGTATTCAAACTGGCAGTAGAATTCTAAGTCTTTTATTTAATAACTGGCACCAACTGAAGGTAAATACACAGAAAAGTCCATGGAAGACTAAGGTCAGTAGGTCTTTTTATTTTTAAAATTGGACATCTATATAAATCTAATAAATAATGGAAAAAACAGATGAATTCCACGAAATTGGAGATTAGTTTGTTAATGGAAGGCCTCAAAATACCTTTATTGTTTTCCTCTTTATTTTCCATCTTAATTATCTCCAATGCAGCAGACACCATAACCAAAACCCACTCCATTTATGGCAACAATACCATTGTTTCATCTGGTGGAAGCTTTGAAATGGGTTTTTTCAGCCCTGACAATTCCCGGAATCAATACCTTGGAATATGGTGCAAGAAAATATCTGTCAGGACTGTTGTATGGGTTGCCAACAGAGAAATCCCACTTGTCGATTCGTCAGGCGTCTTAAAGATAATCGACCCTGGAATTCTGGCCCTTGTCGATGGTACTAGCAACACCATTTGGGCTGCCAATGTGACAAGATCCACACAGGATACTGTTGCACAACTTATGGACTCTGGAAATCTAGTTGTGAAAGATGCCAATGATGATAACCCAGAGCATTTTCTGTGGCAAAGTTTTGATTATCCTGGTGATACTTTTTTGCCAGGCATGAAGCTCGGAAAGAACTTTGTAACTGGCCTAGAGCTCAAACTCTCTTCATGGAAGAGCAGTGATGATCCAGCTAAAGGTGAATTTACATATTGGTGTGATCCTAGAGGATATCCACAATTTTTTCTAAACAACAGTTCCGTTAAGTTCTACCGAACTGGACCATGGAATGGTATCGGGTTTAGTACGACAAGAGTCTGGCATAATTCCGCCTACACATTGGAATTGGTAGTCACTATGGACGAGGTGCATTATAGTTATGAGACCCTAACAAGCTCAGTTTTTTCAAGGTTTGTTCTGAGTCATGTTGGCAATGTACAACGGCTTGCATAGCGTGATGAAACACAGGAATGGGTCCGTTTCCTGCTTTTTCCAACAGAAAACTGTGATACCTATAATTTGTGTGGTGTAAATGGTATCTGTAACGTTGGAAACTCACCAGCATGTAGTTGTTTGAGTAAATTTGTCCCCCAGAACCAAACAGAATGGGGAAATGGGGATTGGTCTAATGGGTGTGTTCGGAGGACACCGTTGGATTGCCATAATGGAGATAAATTTCTCAAGTATTCCGGCAATAAATTGTTGGACACACGGTGTTCCTGGTTCAACACGATCACGACCCTAAGGGAATGTGAGAAGCTATGCTTGAACAACTGCTCTTGTACAGCTTACACAAATTTAGACATAAGACAAGGTGGAAGTGGCTGCCTGCTTTGGTTTGATGAGTTGATTGATATGAGACAGTACAGTGAAGATGGGCAAGACATTTACATAAGGATGGCTTCCTCTGAGTTAGGTGAGAATTCATTCCAAACACCTAGTAGTAGTGGTTTTACCAAGCACACCATCCCAGTTCTTTAATCATAATGTTGTGCAATCTCCATCTAAAATACCAGGCCTGTCCTTCTCCAATCAAACATGTGTACTAAATTGTAGAACATTAGTGCACTGCTCAAGGCAGCTTCTACTTTTTAAGATTCTTCAGTTTCAATTTCGTCACCCACTCATCAATGGTAAAACTGACACCATCAAAGTTTGCTGTGACCCAAAATGCAGCTTGGGCCTTGATTACATCAATTACCTCACTTTAATAAATTTCCTTATGATTAAATAAATATATAGCATCGTTCCTTGTTAACCATAAGCTACACAAAACAGCAGAAAATAAGGAATCCCAAAATTTTCTTCTAATTTTGTTAGTTATTTGCTAATTAATTATATATATAGAAACTGACACTATATGCATAGGTCAGTGCTCTCGTGGTTCTATTACTTGAATGAATTGACCATTACTTTAAAGGGATTGAGGATTCAACAGTTCAACAAGTTGGCTTCAGCGTTGGCTTCAGTGGCAAGAAAAAAGAGAGAGTCGGAGTGACCTTGGCATCATTATTTGGACTTCTTTTTCTGGGTATAAGTGTAACGTTGTATCTCCGAAAAAGGAAAAAGAAGAATTCACAGCTGAACAGAGAAGGTATCTGAGATGAGCATTCTGTGGTAAACTTATGTGCCTTTGTCTTAATTTAAAAAGAAAAAAGAAAACAAATGCTCGCTCATATATATAATCTGTAATGCTGTGTTGATGTGTTTCTCCATATAATGGTAATATTACTTTGTTAGATCTAGTCATCTCATTTACATCCACTTCATCCCCGCTTTGCAGGAAATCTGATGTGCAACTCTTGTCACGCCCTAAGCTCCGTGACAACGCCGCACACTCATTTAAGTGAGCATGCAAAGCTAAGAGTCCAACACATAACCAACAATATAAAATACTCCAATTAAATCCTTAATAATCATAATGCTAAAATCCATAAAAATTGATAATTCTTATCATATGAAATTGTCCACCAAGACTACTAATAAAATCCAATAACAAAACAATAATCCAAGTACTTAATTCATAGTCCTACTCTCGACACTCCAACAAGTAAAAATCTCGCGTAGCTCTACTCCTCAGAATCTGAAAAAAAATAAGGGTAAACTAGACAGCCCAGTAAATAACCAACCATCACTGCTAGCTGGATCAAGTATACACAAAAAAAAATAGTCGATAACCAATAAATGTAATTTTTGCTACAATTCAATAAATGACAATTATTTGTAAGATGGTTTCATAACTAAAAATATACAATGTACAATACAATTTAATTGAAAAGCTAACAAGATAATTCAAAGTAAATTCGTTGTTCAAATCGATGGTTCGATATTCAGATGGTTCAATGATTTCATTCACAAAACCCAAGTCTTAATGACTACGGTCACTTAGCCCGTGACAAGGCCCAGAACCACACATAGGCCGGTGGTAAAGCCCCAAAAGAAACTAGTTTCTGTGCCAATAAATAACCCCCATTGGCTAGGGTCCAAATCATAGTCAGACTAGAGTGATGTTCAAAATTCAAACAATACACAACTTTTAAATAAAATATTCGATATTTTCGGAATAAACATTTGGTACAATTTTCAGAATAGTTTCACAAAATATTCAAATAACTTTCATAATAATATTCGATGTTGTTTTATACTTGACCCATATTTTATTTTAAGAGAACATGAAAGCTATAAACAAACATGGGCTGGTTTCAAAGTCTTGGCTGGTTTTCTTGTCCAGTATTTGATGATTGGACTGAACTTTATGTAAAATTTATTTATTTAATATGTCATATTATTTTAGCCTAACTTTGAACTTATTTAAATCTATTTGGTAGATTATATTGTGAATTATTAGTTAAAAATGTTTTCCTTTTTGAGGGTGTGTTACTTTTTAAACATGTAATGAACTTCATTGTAACTCACATTGATTCTAGGCAATGCTTGTAATTTTTCTCTAGCTTTTTCTTGTACTTTGATAGCATGTCTAGTGCTAATAAAGACACATTAAGATTGTATAAAATGACGTCAATGATTGTGATGGGATGCAAAATACACTCTAAAATTGAGCAAAATTGAGGCCCCTAACATAGACTACATCAATATATCTATTTAATCATATATGCCCATAAAATCATCTATTGATATATTAACACCAAAAACATAGATAAGAATATAATAAAATAAATCTTACCTAAGTGATGAATAAAGCAAAACCACCACTCTTGCGAATCCTCCCTCTTCCTTTTGGTTTTGGTTTCTTTTCTTTAATTTTTTTTTTCAAACCCTTGTTGCCTTGCCTTTCCACAACATCCACGCCTCCCCTTGTTTGTTTGTGTTTTTTTTTTTTTTTTTTCTTCTTCTCCAAGACAAAGCCACGGCATGATGGCAATTTTAACCTAATATTCTTTTCTTTTTCCAAAATTGCAAGATTACCCACCTATGTTATAGAGATAATAATGCCATCTCATAATTAATTCCTTGATATTACTAAGTGACCCATATAAATTAATTTAATTACCAATCTATCCAAAAATAATAATATACAAAACTTGGATTTTACATCCTTCCCTTCTTAAAAGAAATTTCGTCCTCGAAATTTGACATACCTGAAGTCTCAAAAAGTTATGGAAACTTTCGTTTCATTTCATCCTCGAGTTCCCAAGTAGCTTCTCTTTCTGAGTGATTACTCCATTGAACCTTAACATAGTGGATGACTCGACGCCTCAAAACCTGTTCCTTCCTATCAACAATTCGTATAAGGTGTTCCTCATATGTCAAATCCTCCTTAAACTACAACGGTGCATGATCAATCACATGACTAGGATCCGGTATATACTTCCTTAACATTGAGACATGAAAAACATTATGAACTCCATCTAGTGAAGGTGGTAGGGCAAGTCTGTAAGCTACCTCACCAATTCGATCTAAAACCTCAAATGGCCCAACAAATCTAGGACTCAATTTACCACAAACACCAAACCTCATTACTCCTTTCATACGAGACACATTAAGGAACACATGGTCTCTAACCCCAAACACCAAATCGCGTCTCCTGTTATCTGCATAACTTTTCTGTCTACTCTGTGCAGTGCGAAGTCGCTCTCTAATAAGATTGATCTTGTCCACTGTTTGTTGCACAATCTCAGGCCCTAACAACTTTCTTTCGCCCACATCATCCCAACAAATAGGTGATCTACACTTCCGTCCATATAAAGCCTCATATGGTGCCATCTGAATGCTCGCATGATAACTATTATTATAAGAGAATTCCACTAAGGCCAAATGCTCATCCCAAGAACCTCCAAGATCAATAACACAAGCCCTCAACATGTCTTCCAAGGTTTGAATAGTTCTCTCTGACTGTCCATCAGTTTGAGGATGAAAGGCAGTGCTAAAACTCAAACTAGTACCCAAAGTTGTATGCAAACTCCTCCAAAACATAGATACAAATCTGCTATCTCTATCAGACGCTATGGTTACTGGAATACCATGCAACTTCACAATCTCCTTGATATACAATTTTGCAAACCTCTCTAAGGAGAACCCCACCTTAAAAGCAAGAAAGTGAGCGGATTTGGTCAATCGATCAACGATAACCTAAATAGCATTGTTACCACCTTGGGTCCTAGGCAACCCTATGACAAAATCCATGGTAATATGTTCCCACTTCCACTCGGGAATAGGAAGAGGTTGTAACTTACCTGCAGGTCTCTGATGTTCAACTTTCAGTTGTTGACATACCAAACATTGAGCAACATACTGAGCAATTTTCCTCTTCATATTATTCCACCAAAAGTTCCTTTTCAAGTCTTTATACATTTTAGTGCTCCTTGGGTGTACCGTATATCCTGAACTGTGAGCTTCTCTTAGGATTTCTCTCTTGAGCTCCAAATCATTAGGCACACACAACCTCTCTCCAAATCTCAAGGTTCCATCTTTATGCATACAAAATTCCATCTGTAGCCCTATTTCCATTTCAGCTTTAAGTTTTTGCAACTGAGGATCTCTTCCTTGAGCATCTTTAATTCTATCAATCAATATGGGTTGAACCCTAAGGTTTGCCGACTGCACTCCATGGTTGTGCCATCTAATCTCAATATTCAACCTTCGCAAGTCCTCTAAGATATTCTTTTGGTTAGTGATCAAGGTAGCCAAATTACTCGGGGTCTTTCTACTCAAGGCATCCGCCACTACATTGGCTTTTCCTGGATGATAATTGATAGTCAAATCATAGTCCTTTAATAGCTCCAACCATCGCCTTTGCCTCATATTCAATTCTTTTTGAGTGAAAATATATTTCAAACTTTTATGATCAGTGAATATCTCACATTTCACCCCATACAGGTAGTGCCTCCAAATTTTCAATGCAAACACCACAGCAGCCAACTCCAAATCATGCGTAGGATAATTCTGCTCATATGGCTTCAACTGCCTAGACGCATATGCCACTACCTTATCATTCAGCATCAGGACACAACCCAAGCCCATCTTCGATGCATCACTATAGATGGTAAAACCTTCATCTCCGGACGGAACTATAAGTATTGGAGCAGACACCAATCGACTCTTTAGATCCTGGAAACTCTTCTCACAATCATCAGACCATTCAAATTTTACCCCTTTGTGTGTTAAACGAGTCAAAGGCATAGAAATTCGGGAAAATCCCTCAACAAACCTTCTATAATATCCTGCTAAACCCAAGAAGCTACGAATTTCAGTAACACTAGTAGGCCGATTCCACTCCAACACCGCCTCCACTTTCTTGGGATCAACAGACACCCCATCTTTAGATATCACATAACCCAAAAATGATACACTCTCTAGCCAAAATTCACACTTCTTTAATTTAGCAAATAATTTCTTCTCCCTTAAAATCTGCAACACTATTCTCAGATGTTCTTTGTGCTGCTCTTTACTCTTCGAGTACACAAGAATGTCATCAATAAAAACTACCACAAATTGATCTAAAAAGGGTTTAAATACTCTAT